TAAATTTATTTTTAATCTAGTTTCAATCTTAAGTTTTTATAACTGTGCCTCTAGAAATAAGCAGTAACAACAAAGACGAAAAAACTGATAAATCTTGTGTTTTAAATTATCCGTTTTTAATTTATTCAAACTAAACTGTAAATGATTACCAACTCTAAATAATCGATATCGATTTTTTTAAGAATGCTTGTTGGCATGCTTGGTGCAATAAGTCTGACAGCTGTCAAAATGCATTTCTTAGATTTGGTTGACTATAATCTATAGTGATTTCGTTCGCAATGTTAGCAACAATCGACGTCGATATACTCGTTTTTGTTTAGTTATTTATTTTTATTGGTTTATATGTCTAATAATATTTCAAACACAGGACTAGACTTATTATTATTCGAACCATCAAGTAAATTGTTTTCTAAATCGAGTGATAATGATTAATACATTTCATTTCAAATATTCGTTTCACAAACTCAAAAACTAATAATTAGGGAGGTATCAATACTACTATACACGTTATTTATTTTAAGTTATCCCATTTGTAATCCCAATTTTATACGGTGATTAAATATCTACCTCAGCTTTTCACCACTGTTTTCTAGGTCTCGACAACAATGACACTTACCGGGTTCAATTATAAGTGTGAGAGTTCATCAAAATCTGTCCAGCCTTTCTTACTATCCAGTGAGTATTGTAAAAGTCGACAGAGAGAAATGAAACATGAGATACTTGCTTAGAGAGGGAACTAAGGCAAATGTTCTCCTTACTTTCAGCAGTGGCCTTTTGATTGGCTATATTTAATTAATGAATGATGGATAATATCTTAGGAGAGCAGAGAGAAAAACGGGTAACAGGTTCGGAATCGATTTATTGGTAGTTGTGATCTAGCAATAAAAAAGAAGGCGGTCGTGCCACTGTTATATCACTATACTACTTTACGTGGTAGAGCCACGCAGTAGCTATAACAGTTATACACGAATGGGTCGGCTCGATCGGAGTAAGACCACGCTCAAACAAAATGACAACTTAAGTCTGCTGTTCTTCGTAGGGTGAGTGTAGAGAACCAGTGACCTTTTTTACTAGAAAAGAGGCATTCTATTTTAGTCCTTAAGGGTGACAATGCATCAGCATTTTGATTCTTAATCGAGAATAAATGAAGATGTCTATGGGCCACGGCATTAGGTGGCCTGTGTTTTCGTTTGGTACTCTTATTCTATAAAAAAAACTATCGTTGCAGCGTCCTCAGTGTACGTTCAGTGACACAAACACAGTGTCGATTAAACAAACACACTTATTACTCTTTGTGAAACCCATACTAAGTATAAGTATAATTTGACATAAATATACCGGCTGAATTGAAGTAGAGTTCATGGTGAACTTTTCACGCTATATTTTAAATTATGCTATGATAGTACGAAATTCTGCATTATCGTCTACGTTTTGTTGTAAGATCTCAGATGAAGCTTCGTTCTTTCGTTGATATAAATAAGTATTACGAACCGGATTAAGAAAAATCCTTAAAGTTACTTATTCATAGACTAAATGAATTTATCAACAACATGTTTTTGTTTTGTTAATGGCACATCAATAGTAGTGTCTATGGAATGGAAAAACGGCAACCACCTTGTAAAAGAAAGAAGTTGAGAATAATATAGCTATCTTATTTTGTACTAAGTTAAAAATCATATGTATAAAGACTTCAGCTATAAGAATTTTGTTTCTATATGAGGACTCTCTCTCTCTAAGTTAGTAATAACTCTGCGCTCTCGTCAAATTATAAGACTTTAAAACCACAAACTAATAAGAATTGCTAGCTTAAAAACACTATTGTCCTACTTCTAGTCCGAAAGACTAAATTTCTTGACTGCGTTCTCAAGTACTCAGTCCTTTGGTATTGTTAAGAGCTTAGGGTTCGTGACAATAAAAACTGCCGCTTGAATTACTAAAATTGACACTTTATTCACTGAACACCAATTAAAATTTAAATCACACTAATAATTAATAGCACTGATCACTTTAGTTCAATTTATTTCGCTCCGAAGCTTCGCTTGTATCGCCTAATTAAATATTGCCCCGATCGCGGCTTTTAACGGCTTTTTATAGGCCTTTTCCACCGAAACATCCAGAATATTCCAGCAAATACCAGCCCCGATCGACCAGGTGCAGAAAGTTCGAGCGTGGGGCTTTAGAGAAGCTAGAAAGCTTAGTTCTTCCATTCGATACTAGATGGCGCTAGTGGGAGAGTTCTAGAAAGATCTTGACGCTCCTATTTCTGCTGTTTGATACCAGATGGTGCTAATAATCAGCCGTCACATACCAGGTGCTAATTATGTACAGTAACAGCATTGATTATTTATTTGTGCTAGAATTATAGGACCAGGGATAGTATTCTGAGACCGATTAATCGAAGAATCGTTTTATGAGTCAAATATTTTATAGAATCAAAAATTGAGATCGATGTCGTCTATCCCAGGCACTTGCCACAATGCGACACATTTGATGACTAAGTTAAAGCCTGATAAATATGCCTGTAAACCAACCTGAAAAAATGAAATAATGATTTCTTAAATTTACGGGAACACTACACATTGAATAAAACTATATTTACTTATTTTATCGCGTTTAATTATCTACTTTAACTAATTTTTAATTCCCTACGTTTCGGGTGCTTTACAGCACCCATGGTCACGGTGTGGACTGAGATGTTTGGCGTACTGGCTCTGACGTACTGGTAAAGGCGTGTTCAAATTTAAATCTAATTTGTAGCGGTAGAAGGTTGAAATTGTTTAAGAAAATTAAATAGTCTTGTAGAGAGTGCAGTTGTTATATTGTGATTATGACTACGATTTTTATGAAACTTACTCGTCTTAAAAATATTACTAGATTACCTAATCGGTAAAGTTTTCAATTATTATTTATGATATTATTTTAAATGATTTAATAGAAAAAAACATGTATTACAATAAAATAATCACATATGGAATATAACTCAGTATGTAAATAATATTTATTCTTTATTACACGTTAACCGCACAGCGTGCCTATTGCGAGTATTTTTACGTGTTCGATCCCGAGAGCATTAACTACGATTTGTGTGGAATAAAAAAAGTGCCAACTAGTGACACTAATCGGAAACACAATTCATGTGTGCGCGTTTAATAATTAGTCGATATCGACCATCGAACATTGACTAGCATTCGACAGTGAGAACAGTAACGCTCGTGATTGGTTGTTTCAAGAGTTTTGCGAGTGCGAGCGACAATTTTGATCGTTCGAGACGTAGATTTACGCCGTTGCTATCGAAAAAGATTTCACATAGATTTTTACAGTAAGATAGTAGATTGAGAATAATTGTTAAAGAGTTAATTTTATTTCGTTTTTTGTGAACGATGTATGGTTAGGGCATGACATTGTTTTTAGCTTTTAGGATGTTTGCAATCACTAAGGCATAAATAACTAATCATTATAGATTATAATAGCATAACGCCAGTGTTGAAGCAAGAGCTCGTGTATATTTTAGTCTAGATAAATCTAAGGTCTACCATCACTATTCAATAATTGAGTAAATTCCTCTTCAATTCTTCATAGAGACCATTCTATCGCTTGCATTAGACAATGCTTTGCTGAGGCCTCCATGCCGGAAATCCGATAAATTGTAATCTATAAAACCTAGTTACAAAACACACGCATCAAAGTTCACTTAACACTAAATAACTTAAATTCCATTTAATTCCTCAAAAATGTCACCATATTCACGGTGAGCAAACGCGAATCGAAAGGTTAGCTTCGATTGTAACTCACACTCGCTGGTCTTCGCTTGTCGATACCGACGGCGTTAACTGTGTGTGGTGGTGAAGTCATTTGATTATTTTTGTGGAGCTTGTACTAAGCACACTGATCGGCATTTTCCAAATAGCACCTACTTCGTCGGAAACGATTCTTGTAATGATAAAATCGATTCCGTAAAAAGTTTTTATAAACGCACGAGATTTTTAAATCCAATACCTTGACAGAGGGGAATAATCGTGCGAGGTGAGTCCATTGGGCTAAATGGCCTAAGTAGGCCCGACTTACGTGTGCATCGCATTAGTGAATGATAGTCTATTCCATTGATACAAAATGCAATACATTAATCATTGAATTGCGATTATTTTCATAGTAAAATACAACTGCGTAAATCTTTCCTTTCAATAATAGTTTTATTTAATAGGATAGGGTGACAAACGAGCACACAGTCCACCTGATGGTAAGTGGTTGCTGTGGTCCATAGACATCTACGTCTATCCTCGATTACAAATCAAAATGCAGATGCGTTGTCACCCGTGAGGACTAAGATGGAATGCCTCTTTTCCAGTAAAAAGGGTCTCCGGTTTTCTACACTCACCATACAAAACACAACAGCATTAAGCTAATATTTCACGCTGGTATTCTGTGAGAGCGTTGTCCTTTCCCGGTCGAGCCGACCCATTCGTGCTACAACTATACAACTAATATAACTGCAGCATGGCTCTACCACATATGTCGGAATTAAAGAAAGAAATAGAAAGAAAATAACATTTTATGTATATCTAACTTGACAATAAGAAATAGGCTTGCATAATCTTCAATGCGTAGTCAAAAACGATTTATCTAAGATATGATCAAAGTTTAAGTCCATATTTAGCGGTTTTAATGCATGTTTTTATGACCTTTAACAGAATTTCAGCTTTTTTCAACTCATAATATCTTTAGCAAGACATTCTCCGCATGGAGTGTAGTAGTACTCCATGATTCTACGTTTCGAGTTGACTTATTAACAATAAGTCACACACTGACACTGACAGGAGTCAGTTGTTATTTGACAATTGACAAGAACGAAATAAAACATTTGTTTTAATATAAATTAATCATTGTTATGTTCTTGTTTCGAAAAACTCAACATGTGATCATTTAGAAATATTTAAAAACTTACTTTACGCATGAGAAAAAATATTCTATAACCTCCATCAATGGATTGTACACATATGAATATGAATCACTACGAAAAACAGCTGTATACTGTATTCAAAACCTTTGACGTAGATAATGAGGAAGCCTTAGATAAGTCTTCTGTACAAGAGTTGTGTGATGCGTTGCAGCTAGAAGACCGAGGCGCAGCCCTTGTCGACTCGCTGTTCGAGCGGCGTTCCGGTCGTGTCACCTTTACGCAGTTCAGGAACGGGCTGCTCTCCGTACTTGGTGGCAGCGACCCTGCGCCACTTCCCACCACTGCTCCCGCAGCCACACCGACGCATAGCGACGAGGACTCTTCGGGACGTGAGGCTGCACCAAAGTTTGTATTTGGCTCCAAGAAATACGGACGCAAATCACGGCCACAACACGTCGCGTCTGACGAGGTACCGCGGCCTCGAGTAGCCTCTGATTCACGTCTAGACGGCGAGCGTTCGAGACAACGAATAAAGTGCAAACGGAGTGCCTCTGTCATGGAAAGTCGAGATTCCACAGCCTTCGAGTATGCGGAAGATGTCGCAGGTGACCTTAATCACGATAAACGCGTAGATCGAGAGCGGGCACTTTCGTTATGTCGCAGTCTTCAGATGACCGGAATTGACAGGCAACTTGTAGATGGTATATTTGAAAGTATGCCCACAAACGAGATTACTGTTGGTGACTTTTTTGATCGTCTTAACACATCTCTCACCACATCGATAGCCACTTCTTTGGGTGGCGGCATGAAGCAGTCACATGATGGTCTCTTAAGCCCTACAGAAAATGAGCTAGATAATACCGTTCCGAGTGATGCTGTGGTGGAGGTATGGGAGCGTGCTGGCGTGCAACGGCCACGGCGCTTGCTTATGGAGCTGGGTTTTTCTACTGCCTCAGTGCGTCCTCCTGATCTGGAACGTGCGCTTGATGATGAACTGCAGGCAATTTTAGCAACTCCTGATGGCCAGGCAGACCCCTGCAACCTTTTGTTTCAAGCTTCATTGGCTCTTGTTCGATTAAGGCTGGAACTATCGCAGCAACGTATCTCCATCGCAATTGCCGAGCGTGACAAACTGCGCAGTGATCTCTCTGAAGCAAACCGCCGTGCATGTCTCCTCGCACAGGATGTTGACGAGAATCATGCTCGAATTGAAGCAGAATTGAAAGCAAGCTTACGGCAGGTGGAAATCCGGCACTCCGAGGCGACCCGAGCTGCTGCTGTTGAGGTAGCTTCCGAACGAGAGCGGGCGGCTGCAGTGCGTGCTCGCCTTGAAGAAGAAGTTTCGAGGCGCACCGACATTGAAGCAAGATTGCGAGCAGATGTCATGACTCTACAAGAAAGAGTAAAAGATCTTGAGGCACGTGCTACATCAGCAGAAGAGCGCGCATTACAGGCTGAAAGGGAGCGGGCACGTCTCGCTGCAGAAAATAAGGAGGCGGAGGAGAGTGGGGCGGGGGCTGCAGAGGCATCGCGCCTTGCCACCTCACATCTTGAGGCACTGGTCGACGAACTCCGCCTTGAGAATAAATCGTTGCGCGACCGTAATGATGAACTGTGTGCTGCACTGGAAGCAGCACCATTACGGCCCAGTGGAATGCGGGGTGGTGTCAATGACGGCACCTCATGGCGCGATGAGTCTGCGCTTGATGCTTCACTTCCACTTGATGATCATTATGAAGTAAGAGAATTTACTGGTTGATTGTTTTCTTTGTGTGCACTTATAGTTGTCTTATAAACTTTAATTTGTAATATTATTTTACTATTTTTTCAATATGTGGTTTTGCAGGAGTGTGATTCGTCTTCACTTAGCATGGATCAAAATGCACAGCGTGATGAGGCAATCAAAAGACTTCAAAGTGTTTGTGAACGCGTAAGAGAATTATCATTGTCTATGAATGGAAAATGTGAATCATGCAGCACTGTCATCCGAATTATCGCCACAATTCAAGCCAGTGTGCTTGAGATGGGAGAAGGCTTGTTACAGTCTGTAGAAGCTGCTACACAGACAGAGGCTGGCTGCTGTGCGGATGCTGCAGAGTTGGCAGAGACTCTTGAAACCACAAAACGGACACATATGGAGGAGAAGTCCCAGCTAATGGGTGTCATAAGGTAATACAAGTTATTATGAAAAGTAATATGAAATATTGTGATAGTTTAGCAATGCCATGTCAAAGTGCATATTTTTTGTTTGAAATATCACAATTATTCGAGCCTTGAAGTCTCCTTAAAGAAGTTCAGCAGTCCCTTGATGTTGCAAACAACTTTTGGGGAGTGATCTTGGGTTGGGTTGGTTGGGAAGTTTAGTCCTGTAAACTGAGAATGTAAATTGTAATTGTTTTCTTCCAGCGAACTGGAGTCTACATATGAACAACTAAAATTGGATTATGATAAATGCGAGGAATACTGGTTGGCTAAGTTGGACGAAGAGCGTGAAATATTCAATGAGGAGCAGAGGGCTGGTGACGAGAGGTTGGCTGAGCTAGTGAACAAGATTGGGGAGTATGAGCGTCAATTCGCGCAGGCGGCTCTGCCCACAATCGACGAGCGCGCCAGCCTCGAGCTGCAGGTGACGGAGCTAGAGGAGGAGTTCGCGAAGTTCCGGCGCGACAAGGAGGCCGAGCTGGCGGCGCGCGCCGATGAGCTGGCGCGCCTGCGCAGGCGCCTCGACGACGCGGAGCGCCGCATACCGCTGCCCAACCCCACCGTGAGTGGCTGTTGCATTATCTTATACCACTTGCTTCTTCTTCTTATGCCACATACTTTATAACTAATAACAACACAGTCTACTTGATGGTAAGTGGACACCATGGTCCATATTTATATTACAATCAAGAAGATCTATAATATCGCATTATAATCTTAAAGAATATTATACATTATGATAAAAAAACATCAATAATAGAGTTTTCGGCAAGTCTTTAAGGGAAGTTCGGTAATGAACTTGTTATGGACTGTACACAATGCTGTCAAAGTTTTCTTCCTCGTGCAACTTACTTGTGAAATCAACTCCACCAGCTATTATTCTGAACCGATACGACTTAGGGACTTTCAAGAAAAGAGAATTTTTAAAGGTGGGCAACACATCTGCAATTCCATTTGTCATTTACCATCAGGTAACCACAATGTAAGGTAAGGTAAGCCACATGCTTGATTCCTGATATGTAAAAAAATAATGCTGAAAGGTTTTTTGCTTAATTATGATATCCTAAGAGGCGTGACTAGAGGAAATATAAAAAAGGCATTTGATAGATGACAGTTTTCATGCTAAGAGTGAAATACCCAGACTTGTGACAGTAAGCTGTTTTAAAAGCGCTTATAATATGTAATGTCTGTCTTGTAGGTTATCTGTAATAAAAAAATAATAAAAAATGCCCTTAATGGAAGGATATTTGCCACGTTTGACAGGCAGGTTGCTTTTTTGTCACCCTTAGTGTTCGTGCTCGTTTGTCACCCTTATTTTATAAAAAAATTAATAGTTCATTGTTAACGGCGTAGGTACATTAGTCTCGAGATTAAGACTACTTACAATAAGAATGTAGTTTCATATGATTAGAATAGTGCGCGGGTGAAGAGCTGACACGGTAAATATGCCTTGCAGCTGTACTTTCATTAAGTCTGCTTCTGTTTCTTTGCAAATACGATGTTAAGTTATATGCTTATAAACAAACTTCAGATAATGTTGACGAAGTGTGCACATAAATAATGACAGCGTTTCTCTGAGTCAAATTAAACTAAATGAGTGTTAGAATGTCGAAAACAATGTTCACGGTTCACAAAGAAAAGCTAGTCTTCGACTGCTAGACTAAGACAAGAAGTAACGGAGAATTAAGTGTAACCGTCATTTTGCCATGCTTGGCAAGCGGATTTAACAACAATAATTTTTTATTTTTTTAATCATTATTAGGGTAATACTGCCTGTCTGATCTGCTGGTTTGGGTATTTTACGTCCGACATTAACGTGATAGTTATACCATTCACTAGTGCTAGCCACGGCGCGATGCAGTTATACAAAATAAAGTTGCCTTTTTTATAGATTATGGGTGACAAGCGAACACACAGTCCTGATGATAAGTGGATGCTGGGACCTATAGACATCTTCATTTAACTTCGATTAGGAATCAAAATGCAGATGCATTTCCACCCCTGAGGACTAAGATGGAATGCCTCGTTTCAAAATGGTTAAAAATAGTCTCCGGATCTCTACACTCACCATACGAAACAGCAGTGGTCATTCCCCGGTCGAGCCGACCCATTCGTGCTACAGTCTAAATATAGCTGCAGCGTGGCTCCACCACGTATATGATTTGTTTCCTCTGCCGCATCTTTCGCCACGCACTGGGCTACTGGATGTTCTTACACCGCCATTGCATGGTTGAGCGTATTGGAACCGTAGTGCCCGTCTAGTAATATAGGTACATAGAAGTCTCTGTTTGCTATAGTCATGGTGAAGGGTTTTGTTGGGAACTTGGTTGTCGGTGGATTGCTGCTTGTTTATTTTGTGTATTAAGTGTCTTCGCATGTGAACTATTAGTGGAAACGACGAAGCAATTTCTTCAATGGTGATTTGAATTTCAAGTTAACACTCCCTGAGGTGTCTTGAGATAGTATCGTCATCGACCGTTTGCTGGCTCAAGCTGCTATCAAAATCTTTCTAAAAATTCGCAATGTGACACAACAATTCATGATGAAGAAGTGTTGATGTTGGTAAAAGTAAGAGTCGAGAGAGAAAAAGCTGTAAGAGCCCAGTAAGTACTAAAGAAACATAAAGAAATAAATAAAGAACAGTCACAGTGAGCACTGGTTGTTCGTGGTCGTTATAATGATGCCCGTGCGCCACACGCACTCCGTGTGAACACGTCCTTAATGTATTTTGTTAACTTCCCCCTAATAAAATTAAAAATTTTCAAAAATAAGGAAGTTATTGGTTTCACTCCGATTTTCGAAAATTGAGTTTTCATCAAACACATCTCGACGTTTTGAGATCCCAGGAAGCTATTCTGGCTAATTTCACGTGGACGTCCGTACGGATGTATGTATGTACGTGTGTGTGTGTGTGTGTGTGTGTGTGTGTAAATCTTTCATAACTTTTGAACGTCTTGATCGATTTAAATGCGGTTTAGCGTTAGCATCGTAAGCGTAAAGGCACGTATTTTAATTCATAATGCTGTGTTAGTCCCTACTTTAATGTATGGTAGTGAAAGCTGGGTGTGGCAAAAGAAGCACGAAAGTAGAATAAATGCTGTAGAAATGCGGTCTTTAAGGAGTATGTTAGGGTTGAATCTGAATGACAGGGTGGGAAATTGCGTGATAAGAGATAAATGTGGTATGCAAGATGATGTTGTGACCAGGATTAAGAAAGGAATGCTTCGGTGGTTTGGTCACGTAGAAAGAATGAATGAGGAAAGAGTGACAAAGCAAATTTATATGGCAGATGTGAACGGCAGAGTCGGGAAGGGATGCCCTAGAAAAAAGTTTATCGACCAAATTGGCGATATTTTGAAAATGGGCCACGTTAAAAGTACCCTTAACCGTCGAGCATGTATGCGTAGATATATGGATGTAAAGGAGGCGAAAGAGGCATGTCAGGATCGTGCCAAATGGAAGTCCGTAGTCTCTGCCTACCCCTCTGGGTGACAGGCGTGAGTGTTTATGAATTTATGTTTATGACGTTAGCAGCGTTCTAAAGATCTCAATGTGGAATAGATTTGGTGATAATATGAACTGATTCGGACGAGTAGATTTTGAGAAATCTCAAAAATTAACATTTTGAAAAACTGTTTTTTTAGAATAATTTTTAAACGGCTTTACCGATCGATTTCAAAAACTAATCAGCTCTTAACCACAATGATATCGAATGCTGTTGGAAAATAAGATTAGAATAAGAATTGAAAAATAAAAGGGTTTTTTTTTACATAATTTCGAGATTTTGCAACATAATTTGGTGAAATTTGGAGCGCTTTGCATTTAAAATTAGCGGGAAGTTCTAGGAATGATCTGCAGAGTCAACCAATTTTTTTACTCATTAGTAGACATTGCTTGATCACAATCCCACCCGGTGGTAAATGGTGAAGAAGCTTTAGAACTGTAAATGGTTAACCGCGCTGTCTTAACATAACAAAATACTATTTACCATTGGCTTGAAGACGGCCAGATTGTTTTTGGACAGAAAGACAGACAATGGCAAAACATTGTAAGTTAGCATTGCCGAATTATATACTAGGTAGTAGAACAGACACCGCGAACTAAATCTGTGCGGTGGAGGGAGCCGCCTGTTCAGACTCGCAGACTAAGTAAGTTTGAGCCCGTGGATTTGAACGTGTGTTGTAAATGACTAAGCTTCGGCGTCTCTTTTAGTACGTAGTATATATTACTTCAATGTAAATTAGTAAAGACTTACGGATTTGAGACGTGGTCCTTCACAGTTGGCCGTATGAGAAAGTTCAAGGTCGCTCAGCGATCTATGTAGAGGACTATGCTAGGGGTTTATCTGCGTGATAAACTTAGAAATTAGGCAATCCGCAGTAGAACCAGAGTGACTGACGTAGTTCAAAGGATTATACAATACGGATATAACAATATGCCGGCCATCGCTTGCCAACCGACACTGGAGTTGAGCTTATGAAACATATTTTTTGTGCATGGGCGAATTCAGAGTATGCTTTAGGTATATTTTGTGAGCTTTCCAAGGTTTTCGACACGGTGCACCATGAGACATTAATCAGAAAGCTACATTACTATGGTGTCAAGTTCTTAGCACCCATTCTTATTTTTAGTGTATATTAATGACTTACCTTTCCCTGAAGGGGATAATTATGATATAATATTATTTGCTGTTGATACTTCCTTGATTTTTAAACTTGAACGTGAATCATTTAAATGTGACGAAGTGAAAAATGCTACATCAAAATAAGTTCATTGGTTTAACTTAATTTATTTAATTTTCAACAACGAATGTTGAACATCTGAATACCTACATATGTGTTTTTAAATGGGGAAGGACTGAGAGCTGTTGAATCCTCTGTTTTTTTTTTGGCATCACTCTTGATGCAAAGCTTTAATGGAGCCCCCATAGATCCAAACTAGCAAGCAGATTATGCTTATGCTGTAAAAAAGATTAAAGATCTTCACTAGTATCGGGATAGCTGGATTAGTTTATTTCAATTATTTTCATATCATTATGTCTTATGGGATTTTGCTATGGGGAAATTCAGCTGATTTAGAAACTATTTTTGTTTCGCAGAAGAGGGTCTTAAGAACTATTTGCAACCTAAAATCGTGAGAGACTCTTAGTGCTTGGCCAGACTGCAAACGCGGCGCATGGCGCGACGCGGGTGCGGGTACGGACGGGAGCGCGCTGTCCGCAGTCGAGTGCGGCTTCGTTCAGAGAGTTGTCAAGTCCAGTGTTTGTCAAAATATAATATGCATGAAAAAGACTACTGTAAAGTACTTACTTTAAACGGAAAATTCTACAAGTGAAAAATGGAATTAATTAAACAAATTTACCCAGAGAAAATGAAAGAGAATTTCACACAATGTATGTAAAATTGCGAGCGCAAACTCAAAAGTTTGGATATACGTGGATATCAATTGATACGTTTGACTATATATCATAAAACATAGTAAAATGTCTTATAAAATAAATTCTTCTACATTTATTTCGGAAGACGCCATTACAACGCACGCGGTTATCTCCAAGTGGTTTGAGCTCCCTGCTTCTCACGCCGCTTGCCACTTGCCGACCGCGCAATCACTGCGGCCACTTATATCACGGGCTATGGCGTGAGTTGCCCGCGCGCTCCCCGCGACAACTAACTCGCGCCCGCCGCCGCGTCCGTCCCGCGCCCGCGTGCCCACTGTGGACACTCAAATGAAGACTATGTTTGAGTACGTCGTGCCGCGTCCGTCCCGCGCCCGCATGCCCACTGTGGACACTCAAATGAAAACTTTATGTTTGAGTACGTCGCGTCACACCCGCCCCGCGCCCGGGTGCTCCCTGTGGACACTCAAATGAAGACTTTATGTTTGAGTACGTCGGGCCGCACCCGCCCCGCGCCCGCGTGCCCACTGTGGACACTCAAATGAAGACTTTATGTTTGAGTACGTCGCGTCACACCCGCCCCGCGCCCGCGTGCCCACTGTGGACACTCAAATTGAAGACTTTATGTTTGAGTACGTCGCGTCACACCCGCCCCGCGCCCGCGTGCTCACTGTGGACACTCAAATGAAGACTGTATGTTTGAGTACGTCGCGTCACACCCGCCCCGCGCCCGCGTGCTCACTGTGGACACTCAAATGAAGACTTTATGTTTGAGTACGTCGCGTCACACACGCCCCGCGCCCGCGTGCTCACTGTGGACACTCAAATGAAGACTTTATGTTTGAGTACGTCGCGCCACACCCGCCCCGCGCCCGGGTGCTCCTCTGTGGACACTCAAATGAAGACTTTATGTTTGAGTACGTCGCGCCACACCCGCCCCGCGCCCGCGTGCCCACTGTGGACACTCAAATGAAGACTTTATGTTTGAGTACGTCGCGTCGCACCCGCCCCCGCGCCCGCGTGCTCACTGTGGACACTCAAATGGAGACTTTATGTTTGAGTACGTCGCGTCACACCCGCCCCGCGCCCGCGTGCTCACTGTGGACACTCAAATGAAGACTTTATGTTTGAGTACGTCGTGCCGCACCCGCCCCGCGCCCGCATGCCCACTGTGGACACTCAAATGAAGACTTTATGTTTGAGTACGTTGCGTCGCACCCGCCCAGCGCCCGCGTGCTGACTGTGGACACTCAAATGAAGACTTTGTGTTTGAGTACGTCGCGTCACACCCGCCCCGCGCCCGGGTGCTCACTGTGGACACTCAAATGAAGACTTTATGTTTGAGTACGTCGTGCCGCACCTGCCCCGCGCCCGCATGCCCACTGTGGACACTCAAATTAAGACTTTATGTTTGAGTACGTCGCGTCACACCCGCCCCGCGCCCGCGTGCTCACTGTGGACACTCAAATGAAGACTTTATGTTTGAGTACGTCACGTCACACCCGCCTCGCGCCCGCGTGCTCACTGTGGACACTCAAATGAAGACTTTATGTTTGAGTACGTCGCGTCACACACGCCCCGCGCCCGCGTGCTCACTGTGGAAACTCAAATGAAGACTTTTTGTTTGAGTACGTCGTGCCGCACCCGCCCCGCGCCCGCGTGCTCGCTGTGGACACTCAAATGAAGACTTTATGTTTGAGTACGTCGCGTCACACCCGCCCCGCGCCCGCGTGCTCACTGTGGACACTCAAATGAAGACTTTAAGTTTGAGTACGTCGCGTCACACCCGCCCCGAGCCCGCGTGCTCACTGTGGACACTCAAATGAAGACTTTATGTTTGAGTACGTCGCGTCACACCCGCCCCGCGCCCGCGTGCTCACTGTGGACACTCAAATGAAGATTTTATGTTTGAGTACGTCGCGTCACACCCGCCCCGCGCCCGCGTGCTCACTGTGGACACTCAAATGAAGACTTTATGTTTGAGTATGTCGGTTCACACACGCCCCGCGCACAATTTAAAGAAACCAATATCAATTTTGGCCTCAGTATATTTACGAAAATTTAATTGCTTAATTTTAATTATTTAATTGTTACGCTGCTTCAAAAATAAATTTTGTAAATAGTTTTTAACCATCCAAATTGTAATATTTATTTTAAAAAATAAGTCTTGCTGGGTTTCTTACTGGTTATTCCACGGACAGAGGCTTTTTTCGAAACAGTGGTGAAGTAAAAAATGACTTTCAATAAGAGTTACGTGTGATCTATGGTGAATAAAAAATTATTCTATTCTATTCTTTAGCTCATGGAATCGACAACCGATGGGGAAGAAAGGTTGTCGAGTGGCAGCTTCGTACGGCGAAGTGTAGGGTGGCTTTAGGCTTAGGATCGTGTTTTCTGGCATTCTTTAGAGGAGGTCTGTAATGATGATGATGATGATGATAATATCGAGAAACCGTTTTTCGTGGTGGTTACAGCCGTGTGCGTGCGCGTGCGGCGGGGCGTGCAGCGGGGCGGGCGGCGGGGCACTGCGCGCGCGCGCCGCCCGTGCCGAGCGCGCGGCGCAACGGCTGGCGGCGCGCCTGGCGCACGCCGACTTGCTCGTCAAGGACCTCTACCTCGAGAACTGCCGCCTGGCGCACCGCCCGCGCCTGCCCTGACGGTCACCGTCACCTCGCCACTACACCAGATGTTCACGCGACATCAACGACTTCACTACATTTAGAACTACCGTCATGTACACCGCCCACAGCTACCCTCGTCGCGGTTCTCACACACACAGAACTACACCTCACTCACAAATACGACTGGAGTCCGTGTTCCTGGAACACTTGCAAGTTCACCTCACATACTACGACATTAAAAACCACCTTGCGCATCGACCGAGGCTACCCTGACCGCGGTACTCGTACACATCGAACTACACTCTCTCACTCATAGTTTGTAATCAATCAAAAACATGTGCAAGTTCTTCATATAGTTTTGTATACAGTACAACATTTAGGAACGCATTACCCGGAGTCCCAAATCTCCACCGAAGCCAATATTAATTTATGTTCCAATTTAGAATGTGCAATAATTGTCTCTGAGACCAACGCTGCGTCGAGACAGGGTGACAGAATCAGATGAAACCACGTAGAGGTTACACCTGGGGTCATTAAACGTCGCCCATAATCTACTTTTCCTTTAGATCAATCAGGCCCGCTCGGAGGCTAATATCCGATCCCAATGCATAAGCGTTACATCATACCCGAGATAAGAGTGTTAATATTCTTAGGTATATTAAGCAATTAATGTGCGGAAAAAATCTTTAATACCCGGCACTCAAAATCAATGTCGAAGTTTCCTTTGGGAGTGCGCTGTACACCGGGCGACACAGCCTTATCTCTGTACTGTGCACCATATCCATTTGTGATAGCATGCCGCTGCGTTACCTTGTAAATATTAGGCTAAGTTTAGACGAGGTGCAAGTACCGATTGAATCGATCAACGAATTAAATTATATTCCTTGAGAAAATTTTTATTTAAGTCAAAACACGAATTCATTCCATTTCTTGCGTCTTAAATGCATGCGTTAATGTAAGAAATTATGTAATACTAGTGATTAGATAAGTCAACAAATTTAACGATTGTTTATCAGTATATCGTTCGTTTATACACAATGAATATGTGGTAGAGCCACGCTGCAGCTATATCATGGTTGTAGCACGAATGGGTCGCTCGACCGGGGAAGACCACGCTCTCACAGTAAACCAGCGTGAAATAGCAGCTTGATACTGTTTTTCGTATGTGAAGTGTTGAGAATCGGAAACCCTTGTTACTGGAAATGAGTCATTCTAACTTAGTTCTCAAGGATGACAACGAATCTGCATTTTGATCCTTAATTAAAGATATGTAAGTGTCTAAAGGACCCAGAATCCACTTACCATCAGGTGGTCTGTGTGCTCGTTTGTCAGCCTTATTCTATAACATAAAATGAACATACAACCGTAACTCAATATCGTGCCTACGGCCCGCTCCCGCTTCTCGGATGTCGGGTACTACTGAGGCTGAAGTCATTACTCCCATACTCTCCAGGAGGTTGCTAAAATAAAACTTTGTGTGCATCAAAGTCAGAACTTTACCATTTCTGAATAAAAGAATGACAAACGTAAGCTCCTACGGTTATGACGAATATGGAATTTATAAGAATGCGGTAACTGGAAAGAGGTCATAAAGTCAAATATGAACAGGGCCTGGGCCATATATAAGACCCTGTCACACTTGGCGATTCGTCTACACTTTTTCGACTTTTTGATATAAAATGTTGGCGACTATAACACAATCAGCGCTAGACAATTCTAATCCTCTTCATCATCACGAGCTCGGTAAAGCTCGCTCCTGCACACGACCCTCTCCAGTTAAACAGGATTCGCCTTAACTACCACTTGTCATGACGATAGACCATTGTGGTACCTACCACTTGTCTCATACTTTTGTATCTGTTACTTTCTTTTCTCAAAAAAAAATACGTCACCTCATTTCACCTGTATCACAAAATTTTCACCTGTATCATGGGGCAGCCTACATACATAAATATCACAAGGACAAATATCCAGACCCGGAACAATTATTGTGTGCCATACAAATACATGTTCCGCGCGGGATTCGAACCCGCGGCCCTTAGCGCTACAACTTATTGCTAAGTCATTTCTTGTCGGCTTGTGTCTGGGTATTTTTCGTCCGACATTAATGAGACCGTCCACCATCTGGTGGACGGTCTCGTGTGGTAGCCACGGCACGAAATGAGTTGACGGATATTCTTACAAATTGTAACCAGCTCCATACAAAATGTAGTTGCCTTTTTATAGATTAGGGTGACAAACGAGGACTGTGTGCTTGTTGATGATAAGTGGATGGTAGCCCATGGACATCTACATCTATCCTCGATTATGAATCAAAGTGCTGATGCGTTGTCACACCCCGAAGAACTAAGATGGAATGCCTCGTTTCCAGTAAAAAGGATCTCCGGTTCTCTACACTCACCATTCGAAACTTAGCAGCATTGAGCTGAGATTTCCTTCTGTGACCTTCCCCAGTAGAGCCAGCCCGTTAGTACTACAACCATAAGATATCTGCCCCATGGCTTTACAACCAAAACGTATATATGTGAACGGCCTGTAAGATCGATAATAATATTTCAAAATTGAAATCATAAACTTAAGGAAACGCTATTTTAGTAAATACATAAAACGATTCCTAGCTATCCGAAACCCGCGATCCTCAAAAGAGACTTGTATTTCGGATCCTTGGTATTCATTAAAAGTTTTTAATAATCCTGCCCTAAACTATTACTTTATTTAAATAGAATTTTGTAGAAAATATTGAAATTGTGATATATCATTTAATTATATTCAGTTTTTAAATCATATCTTAATAATATATTATCAGTTCAATTTTTGGTAATATTATGTGGAGAGAATTTTTTATAAAGTATTTAGTACTTATTATAGCAGTTACTTCATATGATACAGAAGTATTACAGTACATTTCTGCAACAGTACGCACCTCACTCAGTCAGTGTAAGAATTGCGCGGGAAAATGCGTAACACGAGCTAGCTCAATACATATATTTCATTCAATTTTAATTTATTCTATTAAAGATCTCATGGCTGTGCGTTCAAGGTCATAAATGTACTGTAATATCAAGCATATAACTTGATTTTTGTATTATTAGGTAATTGCGTTGTATTTTAATTTCCCGTCAATCTAGTAAGACCAGCTGTAATGGTACCATCTTTTATAAAATGGTTGTGCGTTTATTTAAATGCACTCGTGTGTTATTTCTTAGTGTGCACGTGTATATATTTCTCGTTGTTCATGTGTATATATATATTTAAATCATGCATTTTTGCATGAAATCTTTCTGTGCTGAAAATACACGTCCAGTAACTGCTCATTATTTTTGAATACGGTATTTTAACGTGAACCAAGTTAATTAGATATGAATCTATGTAAATAGTATAACACATTTTATTTTACAGGTTGGTCAGTGAGTAATTTATTAGATATTTACAAATGACAATATATAACGATATTAACTGTTTATGTGTTAAGTTGTTTCTATAAGTGCAATTATATTTGTAACTTAAAAACTTAAGAATATTGTCCTGGATACGTATGTCGCAGCAGAAACCAACAACAAAAGAAAAAACTCGTAGCGCGCCCACAGCCCGTGACAACACCAAGTACTCCAACAGTTGCATGCGAGTGTAGTTTGATATATTTATTGTATTGTTTAGTTTGTAGCACGAATAAATTGTTAATACTAATTGTAATTGCATTCGGAAACGTGTTATCCGCATTTATCGGATGAGATGCATCTCACAGGAAGTGCCTTCTTATTTATAAGTAGTGCGCAAATCGTGCGCTGAAAACGGGCGTAGCCGGGCCTGTACGGAGCTACTGTGGTGACTGGAGTATACGTAACAAAATACATATTCAATGTAGTGCACTGTCGACTCTATCCATGTCGTACTCGTGAAAGGTTACTTATTATATTGCGTGTACTTATTTTGCCCGATAAGTTTTCCGGTCAGGCCAGGCACGTACCGTGTAGAATAAGTGAGTATTTAAGTGAATCGGTTGGTACATGGACGTGTAAATTTAATAGTGTATCTATTATGGACCAAGTGTCTGAACAGAGCACTATTTATAATGCTCGGACAATATGAATAATGACAAGTCAAATCGGACTATTTGATTGATACTGATTTAAACTTTAATTTTTTTATATATCCAGCTACCTATATTACCACCACATATTACAATTGGTACACCTATATTATTATTACTCTGCGTAATAAATAATGAACTTTATTCATAAGTCTGGAAAATTTAATTATCTCAATAGTTTTTATCATATTACCTAATCATAGTCAACCAAATCTAAGAAATACACTTTAACAGCGTAGACTTATTGCACCAAGCATGCCAACGAAAAAATGGGAACGTACAATATTCGATTCTTAAAAAAATCGATATCGTTTATTTCGAGTTGGTAATCATTTACAATTTGGTTTGAATAATACCACAATAAATTAAAAACGGATAATTTAAAACACAAGATTTATCAGTTTCTTCGTATTTGTTATTACTGCTTATTTCTAGAAGCACAATTATAAAAAATTAAGATTTAAACTAGATTAAAAATAAATTTATCTATTCAATCACTTTCAGTACAACTAGTTGAGCTGTCGTTGTTTAAATTAATTATTATTTGATTTTCAGTAATGCAGTAAAAATTTATGTCTCTTCTAAGTTAAGTCATTCATAATTTTAAAAAAATCTACCACTTTTGCCCAGTTATCCTTTGTGACATGGGCACATGCTTCAACGAATATAGAAAAAACTGTCCAAAAAGTTAAAACCGAGTCACAAAACAAGAAGACAAACATAAAATTACGCGCAGTAAGCTCACGAAATAGCGGGAGACTGAAATAAACTAAATTACGTAGTAATTTTTTCAGCGCAGCCTTGTATATAAGTTTTGTTGCATACACAAATTTACGTTGACAAAGTAAAAAAAACTTGTTTTATTCACGATTCATTTAATTTAAGGAATTTTAAAAATAAAAATTAAATTAAACAAATAATACATAAAAAATTAATGATCCGATGA